TGTGTGTGTGTGTGTGTGTGTGTGTGTGTGTGTGTGTATAAGAAGGAGGTTCATGGGAAACCTTCAAAAAAATGAAAAACCAATGAACACCTTGTAACCATTCATCTGTATGGTATGCATTGTACATACAAGTGAACTGAAGTTGTATTTTGGTTTTTATGCAAGTGAGCATGTTATACACATGTGAATACCAGAAAAATTGCTTAGAAATTATTTGTATGCACATGTGCATACCGTCCAGATAAACAGTTATCAGAGTGTTTATTAGTTTTCCATTTTTGTTTTTCCCTGAATTATTCTATCTATATATCTGTGTGTCTATATATACGTCTTATTAATAAAATTACATATATTTGTATGGTGAAAATAGTTAAAATTTTGGTCCTATAAAAAAAGATAATCCTGTGGTCTCTATTGAAGAAAAAAAGTTCAAAATACTCTTATAAGATGAGTACTCATGGCTTACACTTGAACGGTTTTAGTGATAGAAATCAAACTAATAAAAAACTGAACTATAATATTAATAATAATAATAAATAGTTGTATTATAAATATTTTAATTATTTTATCATAAAAAATAACAAAATAATATAATATTTTTATCTATTAGCTTTGTTAACAATATATAATTTTATTAAATTAAAAGGACAAAAATATCAAAAAATATATTTTTTTTCTTTCAAAAAAACTAAATTCCTGTAAGTTAATGAAAGAGTTTTAACTTATTTAGTTTCACTTATGAAAACAGTAATAAATTACAAATCGTGGGACAAAAATCCCAATTTTAAAAAGACAACGATGAAAATTACAATCTTTCTAAATTATAGAGATGAAAATCATAATTTATGTATATATATATATACACACACACACACACACAGAGAGGGGAGGGGACATTTCAAATGCAACTTGTCACATTTGTATAACTAATATAACTCAATTAATTGAGATATTTATGAAAATGATGAGAGTTCATTTATTATTATTTTAATATTTATGGAAGATGACTACGGTTCATTAATTATGATCAATACTTTATATTAGAAAACAATCAAAACCTTTATAAAATCACATATTCATCAAATTAAATGGACGTTTAAGATTGAATTGTATTGATTGTGCAAATATAAAAGGTTAGATAATAACTTCACTATATATATATATATATATATATAGGGGAGCATTCAAATAAAAATCACTCAATTTATAAAAACCGTGAAAACCTTATTCAACCAATAATAATTTTTCATTTTGTTCATTTTTTTTGTAACTATGAGAGGTTGATTAACCATTTTTATTGTGGAGGATGTTAATCATGGATATTATCATCTTCATTATTTTAATTTTAGAGAAATACATGAAACAGTTTCATTAAAATTTTATTAAATATTATATGAAACAATTTAATAACCATATATGAAACAAATTCATCAAAAAATGTATTATATGAAACAATTTCATAAGATTAAACAATTTCATGAAAAAATTTCATAAGATTAAACAATGAAATCGACATATGAGGATGGTTTGTACGGTTTTTACAAATGAGAGTGGTTTTCATTTGATCGCTCCTATTCTCAATGGTTTTTCGTGAGACCCGTGAGACCAATTTTCAACCCTTGGATTAGATCTATAACATGACAATCTAAACATTTATAAACGCCACGAGATTTCTCAATAATCACAAAATTGTCACCTTATAATTTAGACCGTTAGATCATTAACTTATAAAGTTGATCAACGAACATAAATTGATCTTACGGGTCTCACGAAAAACCTTTGGTCTCACGTGAACCCA